TTGTTTTTTGTATTTCCCCCTTCCCCACTTGTTTGTTAGCCGCCCTGAGTCCCTCGGGAATAGGGCAGCATACAAGTATAATAAACATCCAAACATCCAACATTTATTTGTTTTTTCTTCCTTCATAGGTAATTATAAATGAATGGGATGAGCAAGAGCGCCAGGCCCAAGAGGAAGAGGAACAAAAGAACAGTCTTTATCGATATAAGACCAAGAGCCACGGGAGTGGCCTGAGTGAGGAGGAGGAGGAAGAGAGAGAATTCAGGAGGAAATTCCCCCTTCATGAAAAGGTAGGCAGGCAGCTAATGAAAAGTCTGTCTGAGAATTATTCCATTGTGGTGCTTCTGTTTTGCATGGGAAATAAAACAATGTCCCATTTTGTATCTCTACCTAATTGTACAGACGTATACAGTATGCACCGTCAATTTCTGATCTTAAGGCATGACGTGATAAATTTGCATTCAATATATGTTTTAATAAAACTCTTAACAGGACTTTGAAGATATTACAGCTCAGGAAACTCTTGAGGGGGAAATGGAAACAGAAGTTGTTTTGGAAGAAGCAGGTCCCCCTGAAAAAACTCTTCTTTCTCATCACTCAATGAAAACAGTAATGAGAGTTCATCAGCAACTTTGTCTTTCCTTTGCCCAAACTTTGTGGTATCAACAAAACATACCACCCAATCAAAGCAAACTCCAATTGAGCCTGTTCCTTTCCTGCTACCAGACTGGTGCTTCCCTGATCGCCCACTTTTATCCCTTGATTGGTAAGGCTTCTCTGATTTTTTTTCCAGGTACAAGATTCCAATAGGTTTTCTTTTCAGATGGCACTTTGGTTAGTCCATTATTTAAGAATCCCAATTTGCATATTTGGGGGAGGGGGAGAGAGGAGGAAGAATAATAGAAGATTCCAGGACATGAACTATTTGTATACAGCATGCTGGTCACGAATACAAACTGAGTGTCATGTGAACTGCTGGCCAGGAATTGGAACTTTCAGATTTAAGCACCAACCTGGTCTTAGAATACACTGAGTGGCGTTGGGGAGCCATTATCACAATTTTTTTCCCCAGGATTATTGTTGGGATAAAATGAGAAGAAACTTACTATGTAAGTTGTTCTGACCCCCACCTTGTTCGTTCAGAAACGACAGCCTCACACAGCTTGCAAAGGAATGTTTTTATCAGTCCCGGCTCGGGCTGGCTGCGAGCCCAAAATAAACACAGATAAAAGGCTGTGGCAAAAGTAAACTACTGCAAAAC